TCATCCTCGTCCTCCTCCTCCTCCTCCTCATCATCATCATCGTCATCACCACCACCACCACCATCATCGTCATGTTTTCATGTCCTCAGATGCATTGTCGTGCTTCGCGTACCTCCACAAGCTTTCATTAGGGGTGCGGGCCTTCCGCAAACTAGGATAGGACGCAGGCAAGGGGCCCTTATCGACTACTTACTTTGCTTTTCGACAAGGGCTGCGGGTTCCTTGATCGTTTGGGGAAGGTACTTCGGCTAGTTGCTCTTTTGATGCGCTACATGGTGTATGGGGCCTCTCCAGCCACAGACAGGTTAAGGACATTGGGCGGGGTTTGAGTCGTACAGTGCAGTACAATATGCAGTTACGTCAAGTTTCATCGCAAGAACTTCGGAATCGCGTGAATAGAAACTGATTTCTAAACCCGGCCATTTAAGTCCTAAAGCAGGAACCAGGTTGTAACGTTTGTAAATTTGAAGTTTGAGTGTTTTGTCCGGCTGTTGTGCTTCAGTTTTGAAGTTTGGGGACAACATGCCGAAGATGCTAAAACCCTAAACCCTAAACCCTAAAACTCTGCACCGAAAGCTCATCCTGGAGCTTACCGCAATAGAAATCTTGCAGGACCTGTCTTCAACCCCCCCCGGAACACTACGGCCTAAAAGCTCTCTTAAACCGGCTTCAAGCATGCCAATCGAAGTAATGTCGGGGCCTTAACAATTAGAATAGGGTTTTGGGGTATGTTTTAGTAAAATTACAATAAGGATTTCAGGCTCCTCTACCTTACCGGGCAACAGAGCGGAACCGCTTCATGGTTGGTGGCTACTCCCGTAAAAACTCGTCGGTGCGATTCCTGCACCCCATAAACCCCTAAGCCCCAAACCTTAAACTCCCACACCCCAAACCCTAAACCCTAAACCCTGAACCACTAAACCCTAAACCCCTAAACCCGAAACCCTAAACCCCCACACCTCAAACCCCTAAACCCCAAACCTTAAACCCTAAACCCTAAACCTTAAACCCTAAACCCCTAAACGGCCCCAAACCCGAAACTCTAAACTCCTAAACCCTTAACCCTGAGCCGAAGTCCACCGAGCTGCCCGCGGCTGCAGGTGTCCTTCGGTGAGGAGGATCGTAGTTGCTCCTACACTTTCAAGGAAGACTGCAACTTGCCCGGCCCTTGCAGGGGGGGGGGGGTGTCGAGGGGCTGAGGGTTTAGGGTTTAGGGTTTAGGGTTTAGGGTTTAGGGTGGGAGAGTCGGGATCAGGGTCGAGGGGTCGAGGGGCTGAGGGTTCAGGGATAAGGTTTGAGGGGTTATGGGTTGAGGGTTTGGCGGTTGAGCTTTTAGGGTTGTGAAATCCTGCTCTGTTAGTGAGTCCGTGTTGACGTTCCTGTATAGATGTAGTTCTTGCAGTACTTATAATAGTGCTAGAGTTTGAGTTGCAGTGAAACGCATGTATACACTGCAGACGTCTTGAGACCAAAGCAGCAGCTAGGAAAAGCTCGATTGCACCTAAATCCCCCAGCTACTTCGCTTTCCAAAACCCTAAACCCCTAAACCCTAAACCC